ACCACCAGCAGCAGAGAGAGTCTGAAGGGATGCTAGTTTTTATTGTGCAAATGCAGGTAAATTAGCTAAAGGTCGATTCTAAGAATAAACTGACAAGATGGAAGGGGTTGTTGGAAAAGGGAGACACTAAACCCTCTACTTGGCATGTAAGCTCTTTTAGGAGGCTGATTAACAGGAAAATCACCACTCCTCAGCCCAGGACAAACCCCTTGAGAGCTGCAGGACCAGGGCACGTTTTTCTTCAGCTTTTTCACAGTAGATTCCCTAAATAAAACAAGGGTGACAATCTAGGAACTAAAAATTCTTTACCCAGTAAACACCACCTTTTTTTCACAAACAAGAGGAATTTTTCAAAGGTTAGGAAACTGGGGCAGTAAAGGGATCCCACTTGGAAAGCAGAGGAGGGAAGTAAGCTAAATCAAGTTTAACGTTTTTTAAAAATCTTGGCCGAATAATCTTAATTAGCAATTCAGGTTTATTAGTTTCATTAGCCATTCTTCCCTTTCCTGTGACAGTCATCTTTACTAAAATATTCACTGAGGATCACCACAAGCATGTATTTAAGCCACTCATTTTTTATTTCTCGTATCATGTGGGAATTTGATATCTGCCTAGTTATTCTGTTATATGCATAGAACCAACTGGATCATTGAAACTCTCCAGAATCATTTCTATCTGAATAGAGTATGGCCTTCCTTTCAGGCCAGAGTGGAAAAGTATAGAACTTCATCTCCTTCTTGTCACTGCATATGAAATATGACCACTATTTTGAATTGACTATTCCTTTCCTTCTTTTATATTTCTCTCATGGGTTTTTCTTGCAGTTTTTAGTTAATATTGGAGTTCAGCATCCTCAGCTATCTGAGAGTTTCATAATCCTGCATGAGTCAGATTGGACAAATTTAGCAATTCAATGACTCAGGAGTTTATTGGTGAAATATAGCTAAATTCACTAATCATTCCATATTAATTTTGGTGGTGTTTGCATGTTCAGTTAATGGAACCACCTTTGGGGCCATACACACCGCCACTAAGTTATGGATTGTTCTCAAGTTCCTCTGACTCACACTGTACAAGGCCTGGAAATGAACAACCCTCCTTGGGAAAGGTCGTATGTTTTCCTTCCTTGATGGGTATCATAAGGATATATCTCACTCAGAGATGTGCTCCCCTCTACCCAGAGTACCCATAGATAAAACTATATTGATGCAGGTTTTCAGTTTTTCAAAACAAACAAAATAAAACAAAATCCAAATGTACAAATACACACAGAATGGAAAGGTGGCTGACAGGAGGATGAATGGACAGAGGAGTCATGACTCTCCTCTGCCCTGGTCCTGGGATGCTCTTCTTTGGGCCTTTACTCTTAATGAATAATGCAAACTCTGACTTCTTTGTCGTGGAAAGAAAGTGAAAGGAAGTGAGAAAATGTGGGCTTCTGCACAGTCAAATCCTCAACAGCAGGATTTCTTAAAGGAAGGTCCACAGACCATCTCATCAAAATCATGAGAGATGGTGGACCACAATGCAGATTCCTTGGCTCTGATCAAAGTTTCTGAATGACTCTCTGGGACTAAGGTAAAGGCATCTGCATTTTTACAAGTGCTACAGATGATTTTTGTGCATGGTGAGTATTGAAAAACACTGCTAAAAAGTTTGCAATGGGGCTCACTATGAAAGAATCTCTGTTCTAATGTATGTTGCAAGATGAGAAAGATAGACATTTCAAACATAGAAGCTCTGTGGTTGCCTCACAACATGGTGGTTATTAAAGTTTAAGACTCTTTTCTTTCGGCAGGGGTGGAGAGCAATAACCATTTCATCTAAAACCAGAGAGATGAAGGCAATATAAATCAAACCCATTCCAGCAGGTTTCATTTGGTCTAATTTCTCTGCAGATATTAATCATTGTACAGTCCTATACAAATGACATTAACGCCATTTTAACTCATAATACAGAATACTCACTCTGATTCCTTCTCTAGTGTATTATTTTGACAATACAAATGAAAAATATATAATATGGAACAGTGGGCCATCAAGATTGCAAGATGCCAACAATACCAAGACATTAAAGAGAGAAATGGCCCATGCTAAACCTATAACCCAGCATGCAAATTGTTGAAAACATTTATCTGCCACAGAGTCACCAGGGGAAAAAAATAACTCTCTTCATTTTTCCTATGAAAATGGCTATGTCAAGTGGAGGTGACAAAGAATTCTTCCTAAAAGTCCACAGAAAGACTCATTAATTTTAGCAAAGATTATCTAGGAAGACCAAGGTTATTAAGATTCCACAACATGATATCTAGTGGCAGAAAATACCAGCGCTCAAGCTCTCTGGGTTAAATCATTATGGTAAATACAAAGTTGGAAGGTTAAATCTGTAACAAAGGAAAATGTCTAAGAATCAAAGTTTGGCTCCCATTATGGGAGTTGGTGTCAAGCAATTTTGCAAACCACCATACATGCCTTTTCTTTTTGTCACTGGAGCATGTTTTGCTTGGCAGAGACAAAGGACCATCAGAAGGGAATCTAAAGGCCAGAGAAGCAGAAGTAATCCAGAAGCACAAGGAGTTGACAACGAAGAGGACCCACCATGAAGAGCACGCATCTGTGCCTAGGAATGAAGCTGCCTCTGAATCACACAGGGGCATCTGAAAAGTGAAAAATCCATTTGTTTTCTCCCTAAATTGAATCAGGTGGGGGTAGACATAGCTATGGGGGAATAAAGAGCAAAGGGAACACATGATTTGTGCATTGTTCCCTTTTATTTTAATTTGCCATGCATGCATTTCCAGTCAGACAGCTGCCTACAATCACAAAGGGTAACACCACTGCATATGGCGGAGGCCACTTTACTGGGTTGTTTTTGTGACTACATCTCAGTGCAGCTTTTTCTTAAAGGGGAGGGAGAGCACACCAACACAGCAATCTCACAGCTTTATTTTCCTCTCTTCCCCTTTTCCTGCTGAACTGTTTTTGATAGTGGGTAGGAGGACTTGATAAATATATTCCTGACTCCAGGAGATCCACATACCTGTAGAGAGTGACCTCCCAGTGTCACTGGATTTTAGCATTGCAGGATTTCCCAGCAGGCCACCTAATTCAGGGTTCTATGTATATGATTCCTCATTCATTTGATCCATCTGCTGCTATTAGTTTCTTTGTATCAGCAAATTATGACCTCCATCTCTACCAATATTCAAGAAGTGAACCACACATATGGTTCTGTCCAGAAGTGAACTAAAAGTTCTTTTTTTTTTTAAGATTTTATTTATTTATTTGAGAGAGAGACAGTGAGAGAGAGCATGAGCGAGGAGAAGGTCAGAGGGAGAAGCAGACTCCCCATGGAGCTGGGAGCCCGATGCGGAACTTGATCCCGGGACTCTGGGATCATGACCTGAGCCGAAGGCAGTCGTCCAACCAACTGAGCCACCCAGGCGTCCCGAACTAAAAGTTCTTAAAACTTTTAAGCTCAGGGAAACAGGCATGAATCAGGATTAATAGAGCACTTAATCCTTTAACTCACTTCACTTACCCAGAAATGGTTTTCAATGTGGTAAGCCACCTACACCCTACTTGATAACTTCACTCAAACTAGGACTGAATGTTTCCACTGACTCCTCCTGAGAGCTTTTTACTGACCAGGTCTATATTCATCTCTCTACCAACACCCTCACAAATAAACACCTAGCTGCTGTCTTAGCTATCTGGGATATTTGGGTGGGTGTCCATCTAGAGATGGTCCAGATTGAAAATGTTAGTATTGTTTCAATCAGATTTCCTACCACTAGTTTTATTCACTAGAGGGCATAAGGAATACCTAAGCAGAAAAAAATTTATGAGGTGTCAAGGGACAGAAAAAGTATGCCAGGAACATCGTCTTTGTAGTATTCGGTTTCCTGTTTAAAGCAGGCAGTGGAAGTAGTGGGTTGTCTGATATCTTCCTCCTTCTTTAGTTCTTACTAGTGTATCTCTATCTTAATACCATTAGAGTTAGGTCTGAAATTTAAGGAAATTGGAACTTGGCCACTTTATGCAGATGCCAGACTCCAATAGGGCCACAAGCATCATCTGACCTACATAAGTTTGAAGATATTTTATCTATCTTCAACTTCCTTTTGAGCCATTAAATTCTGTGATTCTTGCAGGATCCTCTATTAACAGGATGATGTGGTATTAAGAAACATTGAAAGGAAAGAAGACATATTGGTAGGGCCTTAAAAACTATGCTGTAGTTAAGAACAAATGCCTGTTAATATATTAACCCATAAAAGAACACCACTTAAATTCATAAATGATAATTCTCTTGACAACTCAACTCCCCAAATGAACTTTCTTTTTCACTCAAGTAGACCTTTAAAGTCCATTTGGGTCTTAGGATCAGAAAACATTTGCTGAGTCTGTGGCCCAGATGTGAGGGTAAGAATTAAACAAATTCAGGAAGATACCCATGTACTCATGGTCACTCATAACAGGAACCAAGAGAGAACCTCCTACATAATAAATGTGCATCAACAAAATATTTCAAGAGGAAGTAATTGGTTATTATATTCCCTCCTACAGACATTATCTAGTTGCCTTTATTACCTGTCACACATATATACATACACACACACACAATAAAAAAAATTAAGAGTGCTTGGCACACAAATAATGCTTGACAAATTATTTTTTAAGTTCCCACTGAAATGCATGAGGAATGCTAAAAATAAAAACGGGTTTTTAATCTTCATTTACCACGAGCCTATGAAAGAGCTATTGGTACACGTAGAATACAGTCATACGGATAGATAGCTATCAACAGTTTCTGTTTGGCTGTGTCTATACAGGTCAAAGATGTATTAGAGAAAGATAGTTTAGAAAGCCAAAACCTTAATTCTGAAGCTTTAGTTATCTAGTTGGGCTTTTCACAGACATCAGGGAAATGACAGCCAAATCCCAAAATCCCAGACAAAACTGGCTACAAGAAAGTAACAACGTAGCACTGTAGTTGTAAAAAAAAGTCATGAGAAATTATTAGGCGGTGTGTGGAATACAATTCCCTTTTAAGGAAACAAAAGGCCGGACCCTTATCCAAGCAAGTACTGTGTGTTGTTCTTACTTCCACAACTACACAGGAATGCAGAGAACTGAATGTGGGTCACATGAAAAGGCCACACCATTAAAACATGGGCAGTAAGTACTCTGAAAACATTGAGACACGGAAGGTAACTCAGCTCAGGGTAGAGAAGGCTGAGTGTGGGGTCACTGAGTCATAATTTTTGTGGATACGAATGTTTGTTTCTTTAATACAAAGAATGTTTTACTAAGCTCTTCTCACCCTCTCCTAGTGCAGAGAAAGAGCAAAACTGTAAAATGGAGCCTGAGGGTGTTAATTTCAAAATAAGGAAGACAATTTGTTGACGACCAGGGTTACTCGATGTTGGAAAGTGTTGCCAAGAGAGGCTGGGAAATCTTCCCAGAAGGGTTTTAAGAAAGGAGCAGAGGCTCATCTGTGTCTAAAGTAGTCAAAGAGAGTGCTGCTGGGAGCAGGGGTGTTCCCCTTAGTATATCCAGGCCCTGGGGACATGTGTGCTGTGTGTATGTACAGACATCGTTGTGCTTGTGTTGCACAAATACTCATGCATACGGCATCAATATAAACTGGCACGTAATAGATTTGAGTGAAAAGTCATATAAATCTGCCATTTCCCCCCTTACCCCATAAACAAAAGGGAAAAGGAAAATTTAAAAACCCAAACATATGCCATTGGGCCAGATCTCTTTCTACCACATTCTCATTCAAAGGAGGGAGGTAGAAGATGAGAGAAAAACCCAGTTTGGGATAAAGGACTCCCAAAGCCTCTCAGCTACTCTTTGGTAGCCGGCTCTCATTTTACATAAGATACTCAGCACATGGTATCCAGTAAACACACAAACAAACAAGGAACCAAAAAGAGATTTTCTTATCATTCCACATCTGGAAAGAAATCTACCCTGTGGATTTAAATGTTAAGGTGAACTAGGTCAATAGGCAGTAGTACATCAATGGGCTACTGTGTTCTAACAAACATATTGTTAGTTGTTACTTTCCTTTTCGAATACGAATTTTGTTAGGAGGTTTATTTCCAAATGGTGACACGATTTGTTTCTTCTCCCACCCCTGGCCCTCCCCTATAGATGATACTTCCGTAAAAGTTCAGATTGCCAAGGATGTTTTCTCTCAGGGAACCTATCTGGGATTTTGATCTTTAGGAAATCCTGGATGCATTTCTCCAGCTCTTCCTCAATTGAGAGCTTTTCCTTAACAGCTTTTTTTTTGCTGCTCATGTTCGACTCCCTGGAGCCTGAAGTCAGAGTCCGGAGCAGATCGCTTTTCCGCCGCATCTCGGACTGTTGGATCAGCTGCACGGGTCCCTTCTTGATGGGACGGTCCAGAGTCTGGATGTTGGTCTGGCGTGTCACGGGCCCACAGATGACCGTCTCCTGGGGAGAGCTGGCCTCAGACTGACTGTCACAGCTGGAGGTGGAGAGGTCGTTGCAAGATGTGCCGCTCTCCCCTTCTTTGTCACCTGTGGCGTTCTTGCAGCAGCAGTCGCAGTGGGAGGGTGACCACCTCGAAGGCTCACCTGCAAGCAAGCACAGCACCCAAGGGGTTAATGCCAGCCAGCTCAGCCCAGAGGAGCAGCACAGCACCTGAACACACACACACACACACACACTCACAAGTGTCCACAACCATATATTTACAAGAAGTGGGGTGGCACACAGGATAGGCTGCAACATGAGCACCTAAAAGTCAAGTGCACTGCAGGAAGGAGGTTCATAACTGCATGCTGGGCTTCAGTCCATGGGCACTGCAGCCAGCTACTTAGCTACACCATGTACCAATCTTGTCACCTTGGCAGTCCCCTTACATTCTCAAAGTTTCTGTCTCTTCCCCTGGGAGATGAGGATAATCAGTTGCCTACTTCCTAGAGTTGTAGAGAGGGTACAGATAAATCAAGTGGAATTCTTAACAAGGTACATAGCACACAGTAAACTCCCGATAAATGCTACCTGATTTTACCATGGCTGGTGTTAAGCCTGGATCCAGAGCTCCACGTTACTGCAGTCCAGTACAACGGCAGTCTCCAAGAGTCAGGGAAGGCTTACTTTGTGCCAGCCCCCCAAGTAAGCTCTGTGTACCCATAATCTCACGGGAGCCTCATGGTAACTCTATGAGTAGCTCCACTCCTAGATTTCATAAAAGGAAACTAAGACCCTGAGAATTTAAGAAACTTGCCCTAGTTTGCACATTTTGTAAGTGGCAGAGCTGGGATTTGAATGCAGATTTCCCAAGTACCATAACCAAAGCAACTAACCATTTGTTTTTTTCAACTTGTTGGACAGTAAAATTCCTGCTTTTCTTTAAAAACAATGTTCAGGGTTTAACTTCTCTCTCTGAAGTGTCTGTTTACCTCTCCTCAAAAATATTTATCATTTCCTCCTCTGAATTATGGTTTTGTTTTGTAAGTGCCTCTAATATTGCACAAATCACATTCTGATATTCTTTTTCACTTTATTCATTTCAGTTACTCACCATGAACTCTCCGAGCTGGGCACAATCAAGTGTCCATTGTTGTAATTCCAGCAAGTGGCTCAGAGTATGGCGTAGAAACTCAGTAAAAGGCTGTATCCTTCTAGTAACGTTTAAGTACCTGGATTCAGCCACACCTGGAGCTGGTCCTGTCAGTGGACTTTTAAGTTACATAATCCACTATCTTATATTTAAGCCAACATGAGTACCTCTCTCCCTATTCCCCTCAGTTTTGATTCACCACACTGTAATCAGCTATTTGGAGACAGACCCATTTTTCAGATACACAGCTGGTGGATCCCTGAGCTAGAAAATCCACAATTACAGCACAAAGCAAGTTCCTAAACATAAGTCACTTCTCCCAGCCTTCTATCCCCTGAACATTCAGTCTTCTTAGGTCATGAACTTGATATTATTTACTTATCATACATTATATGCTAGGCTATTTCATATAGTTCATTGCACTTAAGCCATAAAAATTAAAGGAAATGAATCCCCTTTATAATGCTAATATTGAGGACAAGGATAATGTAGTATCTACATATGTTTAAAAGGAGACCCAGTTTGATTTGTGCTATATCTTACTCTCATAAACAATGAATCACATTATAGTAAGATCCCACTTTACTGGCACCTCTAATATGGTCAAAGTAGAGGAAACCTAGAATGGAAACTAATAGGAAAGTTATATCCTGTCTTCTTGTTAAAGGCCTGTTATCCATATACTAAATGGTTTAAATATTTATGGAAACTTACTTATTTTCCAGAAGGAGTAAAAAGAAGTCCCTTATAAATCGTAACTCCAAAATTCTCTCTAAAGTATATCCACTCTTTCAAACCACTTTTTAAAATGTGACTGAGTAATCATTGTATTTATATACCCATTAAATGAAATGCAACAATCCAATTAGCCAAAAGGAATCACCACAGCAATAATGTCCTACTTATCCCTGGCTATTATCAGTAAATATCTTCCATGCAACAGAGAAACTGCTCAACATGTACCAGCTGCTGACTGCAAATATCAGCAATAGGAAATCTTTTCTCTGCCAGCCCAGATTCTGAGGGTATCATTTTTCTTCTTCCAAAGGCAGAATCTGCCTCTACCTCTCCAAACCCAGCCATCCCTAGACTAATAGGACTTGATGGAGAAATGGCTCCAATGCATTGGGTCAAAACAAGGTAATCATTATCAATCCAGACCTGGTCTAGTTTGATCCTTTATGAGAAAAGTTCAGAAACTAACCTAAGCCTTAAAAAAATAGAAGAAGAAAAAAAAGGAGAGGAAAGAGGAGACAAACAGAAAAGAGAAGAAGACATATCTGCTGAGATATGCCTGAGCATTACCTTAAAACAAGATGATGAGCTATTTTGGCCATAAACCCTGCTGAAACAGTAGAAAGACAAGTCTGTGTTTTTCTCCCCAAGAGTTACCTTCCCCACTGTAAAGTCATTTCATTGCTTAGGGAAACCTAAGGCTTTTCTAAAGCGCAATTTAACAACATGAACACCATCATGAGAGGGAGCCCTGCATGTTTCTGTGAAAAACTGCACACAACCCTCCACTGCATGTCTAAGGCAAGAATGCAGAGTGCATGCAGCTATCTTCCTGAACTGCCACGATGATCAAGGGTTTAAATGTCAGCTGGGATCCTCCAGCTTCCAGGCAAATAGAAATATTACTTTCTACTTATTCTAGGAGCTATCACTATTAAAGGGAAATTGAACAACTTAATTTTAGTGAAGCCTGTTATACTACAACATGTTTCAATATTTTAAGAGAACATTTGAATGTTTTAACATTTTCAGCAAGACAATTCATAAGAAGTCTTCTGGAGTCCATATATTAAATCACGGAAAAGATGGTATGAATGCAGCTGGAGGTCCTGTGTGAAGAGTCATCATGAAATTTAAAAACAGTTAAATGTGAGAAGATAACCACTCTGGTTTTTTTGGGGGGTGGGGGTGGGGAAGCACTGTCTGTCTCATTACCCCCTTCCCAAGAACTTGACCAGAGCAGAGGTTTTAAACCATAGCAGAGAAGTAATGTGTGTGGGCTGTGGACCCGTTTGCCCTTGCAGCCCCACTGACATGTGCTCACCAGTCCTGGCAGATGTGGAAGGAGCTGTGAAGGGTCAACTCTATAACTCAAGGTATTCTAGAATCTCCCCAATTATAGCAAATTATGATCTCATAAATACCTCGGTACTTCGAATTACAATATACTTTTGCTCCCCATCAGCTGAGGTTTCAATACTGACTGGAATAATTTTCTCCATTTGAAGAGAAAACAGGTTACAACTGATTAGCCAGATGTAGGAAAAAAAACTATTTCATCCCAAGAAAAGTCTCATTTATTGATATTAAAAGGGCAAAAAAAATTTAATGTCTTTTGAAGGGTTTATTAACAGGCTAATGGTCAAAAAGCACAATAGCTCTACTTTATTTTTAAATAAACCACTGCTTAATTTGTTGGATATTATATCATTTTTGGTGCCTGGCACATAACAGAAGTTTGATAACTGTTTGCGGAACGAATGAATGACCCAAACACATGTGTTAAATTGTATCAAAATCATAATGCAGCAGCACAGATTACGGACTCCAGAATCAGGCCCCACAATTTGTCAGTTTGGATAAAAAATACTTCACCTCCCTGAGCCTTAATTTCCTCATCTAAAAAGTAAGGCTAATAATAGTATCTCCCGGGGTGCCTGAGTGGCTCAGTGGGTTAAGCCTCTGCCTTTGGCTCGGGTCATGATTTCAGGGTCCTGGGATCGAGCCCTGCATCGGGCTCTCTGCTCAGCGGGGAGCCTGCTTCCTCCTCTCTCTCTGCCTGCCTCTCTGTCTACTTGTGATCTCTCTCTCTGTGTCAAATAAATCAACAAAATCTTTAAAAATAATAATGGTATCTCCCTCACAGAGGTTTTAGAAAAATGAAATGAGACAATTAATGCAAAGGTGTTTCATGGTTTGAAGCACCCAATAAATTTTCTATTCATTCATACTTATTTGCTCTACTAAAAGCCAGGCACTAACCTACATAAACCACACAAAGGAGGAGCATGTTCGACAGGATTTGGTATGTTGCCCCCAATATGCTCTACAATCAGTTCTTAGGTCTGGCTGGAACATCATGTGAGGAAGGGCACTGATGCTGACGCTAGACTCATCAAGAAAATGTATAATGACATTTAGTAATGCCTGGATTTGCTGTGAGAGCGGAGAGTAACCACAAGCACGTGCAGTGTCTGGCACATAGTATGTGACCAGGGGATAGTTTTGGAAAGAAGTTTCCTTTACTGCACAGTGCTTACAATTTCACAAATGGATGAGTCTTCTGAAATAAGAATTTGCTTGAAAACACATGAAATAAATTCAAACCCAGAGCCAGGAATAATCTGTATTTTGGATTAAGGGGGGAGGAACAGGACCCTAAATCGCCCTAAGTCCTTAAAGCTCAAATCTTCCAACATTTTACAACTCTGAAAAACTGAGGACCAGCCAGGCAAGTTGTATGATTGTACGTGGCCCCTTTGGACCATAGTCCTAACTGCAGATGTCCTTACTGATAAAGAAGGAATAAAAGAGGAAAGACTACAGAATACTTCTCCCCTATGAAAAATTCAAACCAAGCTGAGTGAAACATGACTTAGCAAACTCACAAAGTGCTTATGCATTTTTAAAAGAGGCAGCTCTGCAATCTACCCACACTTCAAATTCTCCACCTGCTAATGGTTGTGAACACAATGCACATCATTTACAGCAACAGCTGGGAAAACTGCTTTCCCCTGTCTTCTCTGTCAATGATGTAGGAGCCTGCCAGTCTGGGAGCTAGGTGGCCAGATCTAATTTATTGAGGCTGCTGAAAGACTTTCCTGGTATCCCAGCTGAAAAGTCAATAATGGCCAAATTGATGTTTTTATAATTCTGCTAACCTTGGAGAAGATATTTCATAGTAGAGATTGGGAATAGGCAGGCTGTGCAAGCTTCTGAGAAAATACATTTTCCAGCTTGATAATCATCCTTTCTTGCTTCCTTCCCACTCTT